ACTGGAGGCCTTACTGAGCGTCGTGAGCCTGCGTCTCGTCCTGCGTCGCCTGTTCGTACTGAGCGCGCTAGTGGTCGCGGGTCGCGTCAGCGTCCTCCTCCTGTCCCTGGGACGCACCGGATGTCACTGCGTCCGTCCACTGCTCCTCTGCGTGCCCCTTTGCCTTCTCCTCCTGCTTCCTCTCTTCCTGCTCTTGCCGACCCGGAGTCGGACTCTCTTCGTGCTGCCAGTCCTACTGTCACGCGTCTCCTTGCTACTGCTGTCACTGACCCTTCCTTCGAGTCGTCTGCTGCGTCTGCCCTTGTCACTGAGCTTGTCGACTTTGCTGCGCGCTGTCGTCTAGACTACGCTGCTCGTCTTGTCGCTGAGTCTGAGTCCGCCTGTCCTCCGTCCATCGGGGGTGAGTGTGCCCTTGGCACGGACGTCCTAGAGGACAGGCAGGAGGAGTTCCAGTGTCTAGCCGCTGCTTCACCTCGTCTCGCGTCTGTACTGCTAGCCCCTGAGGGAGACCCGGATGCACTAGACATCCCGACTCCGCGCTCTTACGCGGAGGCCGTAGAGGGTCCCTACTCCTCTCAATGGCAGGCAGCTATGGATGCAGAGATGGCTTCCTGGAAGTCCACAGGCACCTACGTTGACGCGGTTCCCCCTCCTGGGGCAAACATCGTCAGTGGCATGTGGATCTTCAGGGTGAAGCGGCCGCCGGGCTCGCCGCCTGTCTTCAAGGCGCGTTACGTGGCTCGTGGCTTCAGTCAGCGGCAGGGAGTTGACTACTTTCGGACCTTCTCTCCCACCCCGAAGATGACCACTCTTCGGGTGCTGCTGCACATTGCCGCTCAGCGCGACTACGAGCTTCACTCTCTCGACTTCAGCACTGCGTTCCTGCAGGGTAGCCTGCACGAGGAGATCTGGCTGCGCCGTCCGCCTAGCTTCACTGGGACTTTCCCTCCTGGCACCCAGTGGAGCCTCCGACGGCCAGTCTACGGTCTCCGCCAGGCACCGCGTGAGTGGCACGACACACTGAGGACTACGCTTGCGGCTCTTGGGTTTGCTCCTTCTACTGCTGACCCGTCGCTAATTCTTCGCACCGACACTTCCCTGCCGCCGTTCTACATCCTCGTGTACGTCGACGACTTGGTCTTTGCCACAGCGGACACTGCTGGACTCGCCTACGTGAAGTCCGAGCTGCTGAAGAGACACACGTGCACAGACCTGGGTGAACTGCGCAGCTACCTTGGCTTGCAGATCACTCGGGACAGAGCACGCCGCACCATTACCCTGACTCAGTCACACATGGTGCAGCAGGTCCTTCAGCGCTTCGGCTTCACGTACTCCTCGCCTCAGGCCACTCCTCTGCCTACTCGCCACTCACTCTCAGCTCTGCCTTCGGATGAGTCCGTAGAGTCGAGTGGCCCGTTTGCAGAGCTTGTTGGCTGTCTCATGTACCTGATGACCTGCACACGACCTGACCTTGCATACCCTCTGAGCATCCTTGCACGCTATGTTGCTCCTGGGAGACACCGACCAGAGCACATGGCTGCAGCGAAGAGGGTATTGCGCTACCTGTGCAGTACGTCGGGCATGGGGCTAGTGCTTGGAGGGCGGAGTCCAGTGGTCCTTACTGGGCACGCAGACGCTTCTTGGGCTGACGACCAGGCTACGCAGCGGTCGTCACAGGGTTACACCTTCAGCCTTGGTTCCGGCTCTGTCTCGTGGCGGTCTACTCGCTCGTCTTCGGTTCTCGGCTCCAGTTGTGAGGCTGAGATCTACGCCGGGGCCATGGCTGCACAGGAGCTTCGCTGGCTCACCTACCTGCTGACTGACCTTGGAGAGCTGCCTCGTTCTCCTCCAGTGCTGTACGTAGACAACAAGGCCATGTTGGCCTTGTGTCGAGAGCAGCGCTTGGAGCACAGAACGAAGCACATTGCTCTCCGCTACTTCCTTGCTCGTGAGCTGCAGCAGCGTGGTCAGTTGCGACTTGCTTACGTGGCCTCTGAGGCCAACACTGCTGATGTGTTCACCAAGGCACTTGCGCCTTGCGACCATCAGCGCTTTTGTACCCAGCTGGGTCTTGTACCTGTCTTACCTCACTTGCTCTCTTCTTGACTTTACTTGTACTTTGACATATATATACCTGCTCTTGCTTGTCTAGTTTTATATATGTCTGTACTCCTGCATGTGAACTGGCCTCTGGCCTTGCTCTTGTGCTCGGACTGTGTGGTGACTTTGTGATCCACCCTGAGCTTGCTTTGCTTTGCTTGACTGGTCTTGTGACCCCTTGTTCTCCCCCACTTTGCCTATGGGGGTGTGTCAGATTATTATAACTGATGCATGTTTGTAGGCTATAGTGGGGTAGCACATATGGGGTACAGTTTGCTAGGGTTGTATTTGTACCCAACTCTGACTTAGTCAATTCATTCCTGTTCAGTTAGTTTCACAGTACTAAGGGGGGGTGAAGGGGGAGTGGAGCTAGGGGTGTAGCAGCGGGTGTGTGTCAGGGGGGGTGGGACTGTTTGGGGAAGTTGAACGGAGGTTGCCGTCGTGTCGCCAGCAGCACCTGTAGTCCGGGGAGTTGCTCCGGTAGCCCAGTCGTAGCCACCTGTGCCAGTCGCCCGTGGGCCCGTTGCTCGTCTGCCGCTACTTTTAGCCGCGGGGCCAGTTACTCCAGTAGTCCGGAGCGCTGTTCCGGTAGCCGCTGTGCCAGTGTGCCTCATGTTGCCCGTGTGTCTGCAGCTTCAGCCGTCGCCTCCTATCTCCTCTCCTCTCACTGTCCCTCCTCCTCCTCACTTGCCCGTTGTGACTACCACTAGCTTTGCTCATAATTGTGAACTTTAAACTATTGCTTCTTGAACTTGTGCTCAGAATGTGTGGTGACATTGTGATCCACCCTGAGCTTGTTCTGCTTTGCTTGCTCTGCTGATTACACCCCACTTTGGCTATGGGGGTGTGTTAGAATGTTATGCTCTAGCCTGTAGTGGGGTGCTCTATAGCGAGTACAACCCTTCTAGGGTTTGCTATTTGTATCCTCATTCTTGCCAGTGCAACCCCCTCTTTTGCCTAAACTTTCTCTTGCCTAGCTAGGGCTTTCCTAGCTATGGCTCCTACTTCTGCCTATTACTTCCATAGCTGGAACCTATCACAGCAACAACACCACACACCTTGTACTGGGGTTTCAGCTATAGTTTTTTGTTATTACACTGTTGGTTCAGTTTACTTATGATTTTTACACTGGCAAAATCAGTATAAAAAAAAACCGTGAACGCTGATTTGGACACCTTGTTGGCCGGGGCACGCTGATCGATCAGCATACCCTCAAACCAATCTGAGGGCCTGCTTTCAAAAAAAAAAACCAGGCACGTCAGAGTAATATTTTTCTCTACTCTGATGTTAGTTAAGTTTGGTGTACCATGACCTTAATAGGTTTTTGTTACGCCTTTTGTACTTGCATTGTGTTTCATTTCCGCGTCGCCCACGTTTCCCCCCTCACTACGATGTTTCAGAGTGAGGTGTTGGCGGCACCGATAATCTGACTAAGAGCGTGTCTGAAGTGAAATTTCGACGGATGTACAGTTTCGTCGGGGAATGCTGGCGAATCTCAACCCTCGGACTGAGCGTTCCGACCGTCAGGATTCCTCGACGTCCCTCAAAGTTTCGTCGGGAAACGTCGACGTTCACTTCAGACATAAAGAGAGGGGACTGGCTGGCATCGTGCGCTGGTTGGGAAAGTTGTCAAACTACGGTAGCCAATCAGCGCTCATATTGCCGCTACCGTATGGCCCCGGATAGAAGCGCAGGCCTATGTTAAGCGCATGCGCTTGTATCTGGAGCAATGCGCTTATGGCCGATCCTCAATTATAAGCGCACCCCTTATAAAACCCTGATTTATTATAAGCGCATGTATAAACATATTTCAAAAAAACGGATTAAAACAGTAACGACTTCCCGTTTTAAAGCGAGTCCAAATCCACTTCTACTCTGTTTGACTCCCTCGAGGGCGGGCTCGCTCAGGAAAAGCGCAACAGCGCGAAGTTGACCTGACAGGGGGGCTCGGGAACACCTGTTGTCTGTGCGCTGCGAGCGAGCGACTGCAGGCTATTGGTCGTACACTGGGGCAAGCCTGTGCGATGCGAACGAGCGACTGCAAGCTATTGGTTCGTACACTCTGATGGTGCGAGCATGACACATTCCTATGCGAAAGTGACGTGTCCTTGCCCTTGTGCGCCATCAGAGAATCGCCCTCGCGAGATTCTGATTCAGAACGCTCCACACATTTCGATTTGAATGAAATTGCAAGACTCTAATGCACAGTTTGGTTTGGTGCGTTTATAACATATTTCTGTGTTTGTTATTATATAAGCGCATGCGCTTATAATTTTGACTCATTTATAAGCGCACCCCCCTAAAAAACACTGTTTTATTATAAGCGCAGATGCGCTTCTATCCGGGGTATTACGGTAACACACGACAGAAATCAGGAGAATGATCTCGACGATTCGGGGAAAACCCGCTAAACGCAGGGGGGGGTGGGGAGGGGAGGGGGGCGGGGGAGGGGGGCCGGCAGGTTTTCCTATACAGAGTAAATTCGGTCCCCGAAAAAACAACCCAGAGGCCTCAGAGTAAACTACAGCATAACTCTGACAAATCAGAGAAATCGGAAGTCCCAAAAAAATTACCCAGCGGGTACAGAGTTACTTTCAAAAATGACTCTGATTTTCAGAGAAACAGAGTAATTTACTCTGAAAACGTGAGGCCTGCCGACGGGTGCCGCTACAGGGGCAGCCGAGTTAGCTAGGGGAGGTGAGTCCTAAACCTTGCATGATACCATGTTAATAATCAAGGGTCCTGTATTGAGGGCATGTAGCAATCCATACTATCTATAGCACAACCCAATCTAGCCTACAATGACACATGCAAATATAAGCATGTGTACTTTGGCAGGTTCGGCAACGAGCCAATCCTGTAAGAGGTTTAGGGTAACTCAGTAGTTATAACAAACTCCTTTATTTTGTCTCGAACATGTCCACAAGGACAGAGGGGGCTTGTTGAGTGATGTTGTTGAGAGGGATGTGTAGGTCGCGCGCGAACACTCGCTTCACCAGCTCGTATGTTTCCTGGGGATTCAATGGGGAATGGAAAAGAAAGTTGATGTCAGCAAAGGAATAAGGAACACTTGGAGGACAAACTTCCCGTTTGGACGATTTCGAATAGTTGTCTCCTTGTCTGACACACATGCCTTCCCCATCCGCGTTCCTATTTCCAAAAGTGTACCTGGCTCAAGAGACAAAAACGAGCGAACCTTGTCGTATTTTTTCGCAAGCTTGGTGTCGGCGCGGGTCTGGTGCGCGTTGACGCCGAAGTTGAAGATGTCGAGATGGTCGCCTCCGAATCGGTTCACCACATACTTGGCATCCTCCTCCAGATTCTCAAACCGCCCCACAAAGTCGTACTTGATCTTGTCCATGAAGCAAATGTCCGACTGCAGATTATAACGAAATAAAGAGAATAGAACAGACAAGAGAGATTGTCACACCATTGGCCAGAGCATTGGAGAGAGCATGTGCTGACGAGCTGGAGAGCATGCGGTGACCAGTGCGTGCCATGACCTGCTTTGCTATCGCTGTATGGGCCTGCCATGCCATGTGCCTGTCCGCATGGCCTCACCTGCCATGCCATGTGCCTGTCCGCATGGCCTCACCTGGGATGCAATGTGGCGGTCCATGCGCCAGCGGTGGTTCTGCATGAGCTTCGCCACGAGCTTCACAAAGTCAGGGAACGACACCAGGTCGTCCTTTCCCTTCACCTTCTCCCAATGCGGCCGAATGTACTTGAAGAATTGCTGTGCGTGGAGCGGAGAGGCAGGGGTAGAGGACAAAGACAGGCAAGATTGAAGATTCCATGCAGCATGAGACATGCAGCCCACTTGAAAAGGCTCCCGGGGATGGCAAGCACAAGCGGTCAGCAACACGCAGCAGCAAGCACAGCTCAACCCCACACCCAGACTCACCTCGTTCCAATACTCTCTGGACCCGGGCCCGGTCTTGTTGTGGGGCGCATCCGTGATGACGAGCTTGTTGGAGTAGGCGGAGAGCACGCGGGAGAAGGGGTTGCGCACGAAGGTGAACTTGAACAAGTCCGGGCGGGTCACCTGCTGCACCGCCTGCTGCTCCGTGAAGTGCAGCGTCAGCATGTGCCACCCCGCCCGCCGCGGGTCCAGCGCGAGAATGGGGTCCTCTGGGTGCGGCTGCCCCAGCATGGCGCGCAGCCACATGAGCCACGAGTTGGCTGCTACCTTGGGCATCGTGCACACCATGAGCTTAAGTTTTTCTGGAGAAGGGCGCACGAAAGAAGGCATGGCAGGGGGAAAAAATGGGAGGGGAGGAGGAATGGAGAGGGGGAAGGAATGGGCATGGGCCGTGGAGCGCATTGGGCTTGATGCACCCACCAGCTTTAGAGTCTCTGGCGAGGCGTGTGACATGCCTTTCATGGGGCGAGAAGGGAAAATGATTGAACTCAAGAGAGCAACAGGTGGGCTGTCTTTCACAAGGCAGTGAGAGGCGTCTCACCTTCCACTTGAGTGAACATGGCCCACTTCTGTTTTATAATTGGCCGCAGCTCCACCGACTCGCACACCGACCGGTGCATGCCGAACGACGCCGACCGCGCGCGGCCTTGCGCTGTAACGAAGCGCGCTTCTATGGAGGATCGGTTCACTGCCAGCAGCCCCCGGGCGAAGCTGAGCGTGAACAGCTCTGCCACCTGCATGGGAGGAGAAAAGGCTGACGCTCGTGAGGAGAGACTAGAATAGTCCAGTATAACAATGACCTAGAATATTGAAGCAGACGGACAACGGAAGCTGAGTGAGTGCGCCACTGCTCAGATCGCCGCTCACTTGGTCCCTCACATCGTTCCCTCCTGAGACGAGATCTCTCAGAACCGTGCGCCCTGGAGCATGGCAGCTCACCTGCAGCTGGCTGCACCTCGTCACTTGCGCCCCAAGCGCTCGATCCAACCCGCGTTGCACCACCAGCCCTGCACCTCCTCCCCCCGCCACCACGCTCCCATTCACTCCGCCTACCACCCGATCCTCCTCCCCACTCTCCACCAACTCCCTCCTCTCACCCTCCCCCTCTTCCCTCCCCTCCACTCCCCCGACGCGGCACGACGCATTCCGCTGCTGGGTGCTTTTGAGCACGAGCGGGGTTCTGAGAGGGCTGAAGTAGCTGCTGAGCACCGTGACGTCCGACGTGTTGAGGCCTCCCGCTGTGAAGCTCACTGCTGGGTCGTACAGATACTCCATTGTCACTCGCCGCATGGCGCAGTGCGGTGCAGAACGGTTGGAGTTGGCGGTGCAGCCGGAGCACACGCCTTGTGTCAGTTGCTGGTGGGTGAAGAGAGCGAGGAGGAGAGAGGTGCCATTGTTGGCAGTGTGCAGGGGGAAAGGAGGGGGGCAGGGGAAAGGAGGGGGGCAGCGGAAATGAGGAAAGGGAAAGGAAGGTGGCTGGGGAAAGGATGGGTGCAAAGAAAAGGAGTAGGCAGGGGGAATCGGTTGAGAACATCCCTGACCGCAGTCACCCTACTCCTCACCGCACTGCACCCCTCACCGCACTCCACTCCACCCCTCACCGCACTGCACCCCTCTCCAACACTCACGTCAACCAGCACGGCACTGGACGCCGCCACGCGCGCCAGGTCCTCCTCCACCACAATCGCCGCCACGGCGGCCGACGGGCGAATCGCGGCCAGACACGAGTCCACCTCGCGCTCGAACGCGCACGCGTCGACGCGCAGGGGGCCGGTGGATTTCTCCCGCACGGCCGGCGACAGAAAGACCTTGAACGGCAGCCCGCTGGCGGACGGCGCGGGCTTGCCGTCCGTCGTGTTCTTGCATGGCATGAACGCCACCTGATGCAAGGGAAGGGGATACGAGGGATATGGATGCGGGGGATGAGGGGGGTGAGGCGGAGGGGTAGAGGTCGAGAGGAGCGGGCAGAGACTTGAGGGGAGCGCGGACGTGGGATGATGATGCGAAGGACGGGGAGGTTAGATCCGGAGAGTAACGGGCGGAGAATAACAGGGGGGAAGTAACCAGCGCAGAGAAATAGGCGGAAGGGTGCGCAGAGAAACAGGCGGAAGGATGCGCGGAGGGGTGTCAACAGAAGGGCATCGCAAGGGCGATGCGAGCAAACGACGAATGACTGGGAAGGGCGAGCGGGAGCAACGAGCACGACGCAGCCGTCGACGGCCCTCGAGCGCGCAGGGCACGGCAAGGGCACGGCAAGGGCACGGCAAGGGCACGGCAAGGGTAACGGAAACAGCCAAACGTACCCGTCGGCGGCCCTTGAGCGCGCGCCTCAACATGCCCGCCTCGGCGGGCGTGTCCTGTACCCACACGCCCCCCTCGCGCCCGCTCTCGCCGCGCGCGCGGGATGACGCGGGGGAAGGCGCGGGGTCGTGCGCGAGGCGGAAGAGGTGGCGGAACGTGGTGGCGGGCAGGTGGCGGTCGGCGGGCCAGAGGGCGAGCGTCGGCATGTTGGTCACGGCCGTCAGCGCGTACGCCGCGCACACCGCGTGCACACGCTGCGACACAGAGCCCTGAGGGAGAATTTGCCAAGGGACGGAGTGAATGAGGGAGGGGCGGGTCGTAAAGAGGGGGAAATGGGGGGCGGGAGGGTCAGAAGAGGGAGGCCGCTTGTTCGTACATACGATGATATCCGCGATTTTCGGAGCTAAGAGAACGCGAGGACATTGAACAGCAATAGGAAAACAAGGGGGCGACGCCGTTGACAGCGTCAAGGCGTGGGCGGTGCCTCTCACAACCCCGACCGTGAGACACGAGAGGTGTATTCTCAGAAGTGGTAAGAACTCCGTGGGGCGCGAGAGATGGTGACCTCAGCAGCCCTCCAATCCCCACATACCGCGGCCACGAAGACCGCGTCGGCTCGTCGCACAGGGCAATCGCCGATCGCATCGCTCGCGTCGCATTTCCACGGGTCTTCGTCTAGAAACAGCTTCGAGCGCGCGTCGCCATTCTCCCTGTCAGACTCGTCCGTGGTCTGCCAGAAGCCCATAGAAAGTTTCTTCGCGCTCATGGCGAGCGAGCGGCTCTCGAGCATGACGGCGACGTTAGGGTTGCACGAGGGGGCCATCCAGTGGCCCACGGTGTAGAGCACCATGAGCGGCAGCAGCACCATCACCACGCACCGCTCCCATGACGCGGCGCGCGGCCGGTCTGGAGTTGAGCATGCTTTGCGCTTGTGGAAGAACACCATGATTGGCGCGGACGGAATTATGATTGGTGAGCCGCGTGTGCCACCCCTCCACGGACGGAATTATGTTGCACAGTGAGAAAGGTTTCGGCGGCACCTAATGAGCTAGGACGTTCGCGTCAATGTGGGTGTGCTGAAGGAGTACTTTTGGTTGAACGGTGATGTTTGTTGTGCGTGGTGGATGCTAATTCAGAAGCAAACGCGTGCTTCGCAGGCGCTTGATCACGGCACTCGCAACTGCAAAAACAAATACAACCTAGAGGCTACAAAAAACTGGTACTTCACGACGGGAGTAGGGGCCGAATAACTCAGCTATGTAGGATGAGGAGGTAGCCTTGAAATTCAGAACCAGGGACGAAAAGGTGAGGGTGTTGTGCATGGTTGTGGGTTGAACTTGGGAGGGAGTTGTGCCATGAAGGGCAAGCGCACCGCTACTGTACCTCCCGCGCCGCACGCGCGAAATTCCTCGCCTTGCCTCTCCCTCCCTCTGCGCTCTGTGACTTCGGCTCGGAACCTCGTTCCAGCCCGAGCCGAGCTTCGTTCGGGCTGTCTGGCACACCTACTGCACCGAAGCTTCATGACTATTCACGCCCAACGAGTCAAACAGCTTGGCTCGTTGAGGAGGAGCCAAACCAGTCGCTTCTGGTCTTGGAGGCTCATGATTGGTAAGTTCACCAACCAGTACACTGGCGCGACACCAGAAGCATGTGTCAGAAGAGGTGCTTGAAAGACGACATTGCGGAGTTCCCAAATTTGTCGCACTGTAACCTTTTTGTTCCCAGCCTTGTCAGGGAAACTTTCTACCCGAGCATCCCCTCGCCCAATCACCTTCGACGGCGGGAGGCCCTGCTGGAGCTTTGGCGCAAACCCAACGGACCTACCATACCACTCGCCTATACCCCGTTCCCCCCTGTCTTGTCTCGCCTAACCACGCCTCCCCCGAACCGAACCTAGCTCTTTCAAATTCCTGCCTCCCGAAAATCGTTCAGTCTGTTCTCCCCGTCGCACGGGAACAACCACTGAGCAAGGCGACTTTTGTTTGTCGTCACTGGCCTTGCGACCCGACCCGACATCGTCGCAGGTCAGGGTACGAAAGGTCGTGACCAGTGACATGCTGCAAGTCTGGCGAATGGGCTGATAAGAACCGCTAGCTCTCACCCCAAGATGGAAAGAGGTCACTCCCAAGTTTCTCTCCCAAAGTACCAGTTAGGGGCCTGCCGAACAAGGCTCTGAATATCGTTAGTGGTCACTCTCTTACCACGAAACTGACACCAAGGTCCATTCGAGTTTCCATCACTTGAAGTTGTCTGAGATGGCCTGACTTCGTAACAAGTGACATCGGAAGAATGAGTTGACTGACTGTTTGAACTGCCGTTCCGTCGCGTAACTTATTACTGGGCTTTGTGAGAAGCAGGCAGGAAGAGCTTAGGGCAGCATCCACCCTAACAGCAATCGAGCCCAGTCCACCCCATCCCGTGCTTTCTAGAAGCGTCGAGCCGACATTTAAGAACCGGGAGCGATATCGCGACGTTTTCTCGATGCGGTCGTGGGTTCACGCTTGACATTAAATTTATTCTTCCAGGAGCCTCCGAAATTGATGCAGGCTCAGATCCCTGTTTGACCGACAGCGTACAGCTTAGCAGCTGCAGCCATGACAGGCAAGAAGAAACACTCTAGTAGCGTGTTTCGAATAGTCAGAGGGTTCGGCGCAGCGCTGCTGCTCGTTCTCGTCTTAAAGCCCATCGTGCCGTGCCTGTGGTCGCGCGAGCCCGGCATCTGTCCAATCCTCGAGGTCCCGTCCCTCGCGCGGCGAGAGATCAAGGAGGCCGCTGAGGCCGGGAAACTGGAGTCACGAGTTTCAGTCTCGGAAAGCGCGAGCAGTGTTTCGGAAACGGTTAAGAGCGATGCAGGGAAGATGGAGGAGCAGCAGGTGGCTGATGCAGCAGCAGCGGAGAATGGCAGGGAGTTAGCTGCTGCTAAGCTCGCCTTATCCGCTGAGCTAGATTCACCTATTAACGCGGATAATTTATCGTCGCAAAGGAGAAGCTCGGGTGTAGAGGAGGCAGAGGAGGAGGAGTCGATGACGTCAGCGGTCGAGTCGATGTCGGAAGACGACAAGGAGCGCGATGTGAAGTCGCTGTGGCGCTGCCAGGGCGGATCCGGCGCCGTCGACTGCGCTGAACCGCAGGCGCTCTTGCTGGCCGAGGTGAGCGAATGCAGGGCGAGGTGAGCGAATGCAGGGCAAAGTGAGCTCGCGAAGGGGAAGTTAGATGCGAATTCGGTGGACGATGAGGGTTGGCGGGTATTGCAGCTCTTTAAGACACGTACAACTGCCATGGAATGAGGAGCGTACGAATGAGAAGGTACGTGCGAATGTCATGGAGTAGAAAGCGTACGAATGCCATGGAGTAAGATACGTACGAACGTACGAATGTCGTGAAGTAAGATACGTACGAACGTACGAATGTCGTGAAGTAAGATACGTATGAACGTACGATTGTCGTGAAGTAAGATACGTGCGAACGTACGAATGTCGTGAAGTAAGATACGTACGAACGTACGAATGTCGTGAAGTAAGATACGTACGAACGTACGAATGTCGTGAAGTAAGATACGTACAAACGTACGATTGCCATGGAGTAAGATACACTGGAACTCCATGGAGCAAGGTATGTATTAATGTGCGAAGGTCAAAGAATGGGACCAACGAAGCTGGCAGACGCAATGGCAACAGCATGGCTTCATCAACTGCTCGTTGAATATGGGCGGCTGAGTGAACGTGGTGGCCGAAAAGGTTCTATGATGTGGGGGGGAATGATGTGTGGGGAGTTGACACAGCGGTGCAGTGATGTGAAGGCGGCGCGCAGGCTGCCCCAGGTTGCGCTGTCTCAGCGCGGAGAGCATGGCGCGCGCAGCAGCGAGGAGAGAGATGACGGGCGTGTTTGGTGGGCGCCAATCGTGGCATGTGCGCTGCTCATCCATCTTTCGTCCGTTTAGCACCCCTTCTTCTATTCCGTTTTCCCCTCACCCCCCACGTGGCTCGCTGTGAGGCTGCGTGCACGCGTTTAGGCAGCACACACTCAGGCGCATTCCCCCCCTTCTCCCCACCTCTCCCACCCTTCCCCCCTCCCCGCAGGGCGCGCTGGCACAGCGCGTGCACGCGGTGTGCGCGGCGTACGCGCTGACGGCTCTCACCGGCGCGCCCACGCTCGCCGTGTGGCCCGCCGACCGCCACCTGCCCGCCACCACCTTCCGCCACCTCTTCCGCCCCGCCAGCAGCATGGCCACCCCCCCGGGGGACGTGGCGGACAGCGCGGTGAGCGGAGAGGCGCGCGACGTGTGGGTGCACGACGTGCGCATGCCCAGCGGCGACCTCACGGCGAGGTTGCACACGTCGCAACAGGTGAGCAGTTGTGGTCGGCTGTGGTGAGCTGTAATGGGCTCTGGTGAGCGGAGAGGCGCGCGATGTGCGCATGGCCAGCAGCGACCTCACGAACAGGCTGCCCGCGCCACAGCAGGTGAGCCGTTGAGATGGGCTGTGGTGGGCTGTGGTGGGCTGTGGTGGGCTGCGGTGGGCTGTCGTGGGCAGTGATGGGCTGTGATGGGCTGTGATGATTTGCAGAAAGAGCACAATATCTGTACTCTTACCCGTCGCTCATCCCCTTTTTTATTGTGAAACTCCTTCCGCACAGTTGTATGCCTTGCCTCCTCATTCCTCTGCATTCCTCTGCACGCCTTGCCACCGAGCTCCGTTGCAGGTGATGCTCAAGGAGTGCCCACGAGGCAGCAGGAGAAAGACCAAGCGCACCCCTCTGCCCTTCCGCCGCTACCTCTCCCCCTCAGCTCAGTCCCAGGTGTGCTAATTCAACATTTTCCCGTGCCTGCGTCCTCCACTCACTCATCTAAGTTCCCCATTGACTCATTCACTCGCCTCATTCACTCATCCCCTGCCCCACATTACACACCGTCCTTTTAATTTAACTGTCCATCTGCCGGCTCGCTTCTCCGCCTCTCCGCCTCTCCACCTCTCCACCTCTCCGCCTCTCCGCCTCTCCGCCTCTCCGCCTATCCGCCTCTCCGCCTCTCCGCCTCTCCGCCTCTCCGCCTCTCCGCCTTCTCCTGCCTCTACCGCTCTGACTACCTTCCTTCCCCCACCCCAACAGGCTTCCGGTGCACTGAATCTGGACGGGTGCGCGTACGACAAGCACGTGGACGCGTGTTTGGGGCGCCTGCGTCCGTCCACGGCGGTGGGCGCGCTGGTGATGCAGGAAGACCTGGATGCGCTCAAGCTCTCCAAAGCCATCTATGTGTCGGTGAGCCCGCATGCCAGGAGTGCATGGCATGGCACTCTATCGCGTACAGTGCATGGGTGTGCGGCCCTCCACGGGTGATGCACGAGGACCTGGCCGCGCTCAAGCTCTCCAAAGCCATCTTTGCGTAGGTACGTGTCGGTATGTGTGGGTGGTAGGATTGAATACCGTGGGTGGCTCTGCATGCATGCATGCATGCGCCCACTCCTTGTTCATGCTGCTGAGTGCATGGCACTCTGTAGCGTACAGTACACAGGTGTGCTGCCCTCCCCGGCGGTGGGCGCGCTGGTGATGCAGGAGGACAAGTCGATTTTTGAGGCGACTAAATAATCAACTTATCACACACGAGGACCTGGCTGCACTCAAGCTCTCCAAAGCCATCTACGTCTCGGTGAGCATGCATGCGCCCACTTAATGCGTGTGAGCGAGCGTGTGCCACCCTGCGCAGAGGAGACTGTTGCGTGCCACTCTGCCGCGTATAGTGCACAGCTCACCTGTCAAGGCAACTTTGCCATACGTAAACCGAAAACCCTGAGTCCTAAACCTGAATTGCGAAGCCTAAACCCTGACCTTGATGGTGCACACGCGTTTGGGCGCGCTCAAGCCCTCCAACGACGTATGCGTTCTGGTGAGCAAGGGTACGGATGTCTCTGTGAGTGGTAGGCCTTCCCCCTCCCCTCTCCCCTCACCTTCCTTCTCCTTCCCCTTCACCTGCCCACCCACCCGCATCTACCCACACCCGTCCAGAAACCCCCTGCTGGTGCATGCTGCTCTGCTGCCCCGTATCGCCAACGCGTCTGCTCCCCTCTGCACCATGCGCCGCCTCATCATAGCCTCTCCCCCCCTTCCCCCCCTTTCACCACCGGAATCCCCCTGCTGGTGGCCCCTGCTCCAGCTGCCCCCCTGCTCGCCAACCCATCAGCCCCACTATGCGCCATGCGCCGCGTCACCATGGCCTTCCCCCCTTTCCCCCCTTCCACTACCAGAAGCCCCCTGCTGGTGCCCCCTGCTCCGGCTGTCCCCGTATGGCCAACTCGTCCGCCCCGCTGTGCGCCATGCGCCGCATCACCATGGCTTTTCTGCACGACCCCCACGTGGCCTTCGCCCTCGCCGCCCGCGCCGCCCCCGACGTCACCGCTGTTGGGGACTTCTTCAGCGAGCTGCGCCGCCCGCTCGTGCTCAAGGCCAGCCAATCGCGGCTCGACACGTGTCAGGAGGGGGGGAGGAGGGAGTTGGCGGAGGGGAAGGGGGTGCTGGGGAGTGAAGTGGGCGGGACCAGCATCAAGTGCGCTCAGCTGCAGGTGCGACCACATGCCAGTGCATGGCTGAGTGCGTGTGTGGCTGCATGTGTGCATGGGTGCATGGGTGCATGGGTGCATGGTGCATGGGTGCATGGGTGCATGGGTGCATGGGTGCATGGATGCATGGGTGCATGGGTGCATGGATGCCTGAGTGCATGGGTGCATGGGTGCATTGCGAATCCATAACTTGTCACTCTATTGCATTGCGCCACCCCGGTACGCTCATACTCACCACACACCCCGCGCCCCTCAACTGCTCCACACCGTCTCCACCAACAAATATGCTATTCCGTTGTCCTCCCTCTGCTGTTTTCCGCTGGCCCCTTTGCCCCTCCTCCCCCGTCTTCCTCTCCTCCCAGCCAGTCTGTGCAAGTGCTTGCTTTTATCCTCTCCCCCTCTCCCCATCTCGCCTTCTCCCCCTCTCCCCATCTCGCCTTCTCCCCCTCTCCCCATCTCGCCTTCTCCCCCTCTCCCCATCTCGCCTTCTCCCCATCTCCCCATCTCGCCTTCTCCCCATCTCCCCATCTCGCCTTCTCCCCCTCTCCCCAGTGCTGCACTCCTTCCTCCTTCCATCCTTCCCCTTGCTACTCACCCCCACTCCACCGCTTTCCCCGTCCCATGAACCCCCCATTCCCCCCACCTCTCCCCCCCCGCCAGGCAGCGGAGCTGTTTGCTTTGAGCTTCGCGAGGGCGCTGGTGCCGATCCACCGGTGGGCCATCGAGCCGCGCTTCATCCTCGCCCAGGGCGCCCGCCGCTCCCCCGCCTTCCAGGTGCCGCTCCCCCGCCTTCCAGGTGCCGCTCCCCCGCCTTCCAGGTGCCGCTCCCCCGCCTTCCAGGTGCCGCTCCCCCGCCTTCCAGGTGCCGCTCCCCCGCCTTCCAGGTGCCGCTCCCCCGCCTTCCAGGTGCCGCTCCCCCGCCTTCCAGGTGCCGCTCCCCCGCCTTCCAGGTGCCGCTCCCCCGCCTTCCAGGTGCCGCTCCCCCGCCTTCCAGGTGCTGCTCCCCCGCCTTCCAGGTGCCGCTCCCCCGCCTTCCAGGTGCCGCTCCCCCGCCTTCCAGGTGCCGCTCCCCCGCCTTCCAGGTGCCGCTCCCCCGCCTTCCAGGTGCCGCTCCCCTGCCTTCCAGGTGCCGCTCCCCCGCCTTCCAGGTGCCGCTCCCCTGCCTTCCAGGTGCCGCTCCCCCGCCTTCCAGGTGCCGCTCCCCTGCCTTCCAGGTGCCGCTCCCCCGCCTTCCAGGTGCCGCTCCCCCGCCTTCCAGGTGCCGCTCCCCCGCCTTCCAGGTGCCGCTCCCCCGCCTTCCAGGTGCCGCTCCCCCGCCTTCCAGGTGCCGCTCCCCCGCCTTCCAGGTGCCGCTCCCCCGCCTTCCAGGTGCCGCCCCCCCGCCTTCCAGGTGCCGCCTCCCCGCCTTCCAGGTGCCGCCCCCCCGCCTTCCAGGTGCCGCTCCCCCGCCTTCCAGGTGCCGCTCCCCCGCCTTCCAGGTGCTGCTCCCCCGCCTTCCAGGTGCCGCCCCTCCTGCTGCTCTCCCTTAGTGTTCCTCTCATTCCCCACTCGCCTCCTGTCTGCCATGTCCCACCCGCCATGTGCCACCCGCCATGTGCCACCCGCCATGTGCCACCCGCCATGTGACACCCGCCATGTGCCACCCGCCATGTGCCACCCGCCATGTGCCACCCGCCATGTGCCACCCGCCATGTGCCACCCGCCATGTGCCACCCGCCATGTGGTTTTCCATCTGATCTCATTGCAGATTGCCTCCCATTCCTCCTCCATCTTGCTCTGGTGCACTTTAAAGCCCTAAGCACTCAATCGTTTCAGCTCACCTCCTTACTTCAGCAACCCATCCCCCCCATGTGCACATCGCCCCCGTTCCTGTGCTCTTCCTGTGCTCTTTACCCCTCCGTCTTTGCTCAACTCCCGCCGCCATGTGCTGCCAGGTGCTGCCGTCCATCTGCGAGACGGAGAGGTTGCCGCCCATCATTCGACACCGGTGGTCGTGGTTCACACAGGTGGAAGGTGAGATGGTCGTGGTTCACACAGGTGGAAGGTGAGATGGTCGTGGTTCACACAGGTGGAAGGTGAGATGGTCGTGGTTCACACAGGTGGAAGGTGAGAGCAAAAGCATAGGTGCGAAACGATGCACATCTGGCCTAATGTGCGAGGAAGGCGAGAAATTTATGACTTTTGAAGGTGCTACAATGAAGGAGGCTGTTCAAGTTTAGCTCGCTGCACAGGTGGCAGGTGGTGAGGCAATGGCCTCACCCTCCCCCTTTCTGGCACCCAACGCATGCGTCGCATGTGCCTCCCAGTGCTGATCATATGCATTTTGCCCAGCGGCCCCTCTTGCTCACACCTTATTCCTCCCCTTCCCCCTTTTTGATGGAGATTTCTCGCCAGAGAAGCAGGTGATCTCCACCGTGCCCCACCTGCTCCATTCATTCCCCAAGCTAGTGCTGCGCACCATGCCCACCATGATCAATTCACCTGTTCCCTTTTCGCCTCTCTCCATGCAATGTATCGTGTCTCCCCCTGTTCCCAAAAGAGAAGCCGAAGCTGGTGGTATGCACGATGCCCAAGGTGCTCCATTCACCACGCTCAATTATTCTCCTGTCTCTCCCATGCATTGCATCCTGTGTGTGTCCTGCCCCCCCACCAGAGAAGCTCAAGCTAGTGGTGTGCACGATGCCCAAGGTGGCGGCCAACTCGTGGCTCATGTGGCTGCGCGCCAAGCTGGGGCAGCCCAACCCGAATGACCCCATCCTCGCCCTCGACGTGGACAAGGCCGGCTGGCACCTGCTGGGGAGGCACTTCACAGAGAAGGAAGCGGTGAGCCTGCAGTGATTGCTGCGCTGCGATTTCATTATATGACTTCATGGTAGCAATTGAGACCTCACAAGTCCTGATATGCACCAAGCGGACTTCACAGAGAAGGAAGCAGTGAGTGTAGCACCCGGGTAGTGCGGAGCTCAATCCGCCCGTATTTCGTCCGCTTGCTTATCCGCAACCGTCTTTGTCAATCTATACCCACTTTATTCCCGTGAATCGCTTCCCATGGATTTTCCTCCTTCCCCTCTCTTCCCCCTTCCCCTTTACTCTTCCCTTTTCCGTTCCCCTTTACCCTTCCACTTTCCCCTCCCACCCTTGTACCTGCAGGTTCGTCTGGTGACGCGCCCGGACTTCTTCCGCTTCACCTTTGTGCGCAACCCCTTCTCGCGCGCCCTCTCCGCCTACTCCAACAAGCTCGTCGTGACAGACACCCCCAACAACAAGACGGGCCCGGGCTCCAGAGAATACTGGAATGAGGTGAACCAAGGGGGTGAGGAATGAAGTGAGGGGCAACTTTTGGACTCTCCCCCTGCTTGCATTGCTCCGGTTCCCCCCCATGGCACAACAGCGTTTCTTCCGGTTTGTGCGGCCGCAGCTCAAGGGCGAGGAGCACCTCTGTTGAGGCACACATATCTCATACAAACCTTGCAACTGCCGTTTCTTCCGATTGCCCCGGTGTCCCCCCCCCCCCACATGGCAGCGTTTCTTCCGGTTTGTGCGGCCGCAGTTTGAGCTGCTCAAGGGCGAGGACGACCTCGTGTCGTTCCCCGACTTCATGCGCCTCGTTGCCCTCATGAAGAAGAACTTCCGCTGGAAGATGGACCGCCACATCGCCCCGCAGGTGTGTCCAATGTGCTTATAATGACAGGTGAGCCTGTGATGGCAGGTGAGCCTGTGATGGCAGGTGGGCTTGTGATGGCAGTTGCACTGGTGGTAACTGCATGCCGGGCAGCCGCATGAGCATGAGCGTGCATCATCACCTCGCTTTGCCTGCCTCTCATGTGCCACTCCTGAACTCTCTGTGCTGCTGTCGCCTCTCTGCTGTCTCTGCCCTACCTCTTTGCCTGTGCTGCCTCGCTGCCTTGTCAAACTATATATAGGTGTTGGTTCTATGTAGGCTGTAGTGGGGTAGCCCATATGGGGTACAACCCAATGTTAGGGTTCTATTTGTACCCACCTTCCTCATAGTTCATTCATTCCTGCTTGCTATCTTGACATGCCTGTGTGCTGTGCTGCCTCTGCCTGCCCTGCCTTGGCTGCTGCTTCTCCGCCTCTGCTGCTTCCCTGGCTGCACTGCTGGCAGGTGGACGTGTGCTTTATGCAGATGATCAAGTACGACTTTGTGGGGCGGTTTGAGAGTCTGGAGGAGGATGCCAAGTATGTGGTGAACCGATTCGGAGGCGACCATCTCGACATCTTCAACTTCGGCGTCAACGCGCACCAGACCCGCGCCGACACAAAGCTTGTCAAGAAGTACACAAAGGTTAGTTCTTCTGCAGCAGCTGCTGTACGGTGGGATCTTGAGTCCTGACATGGCTAAAGTGGGACATGGTCATATAGGTTACCTGTACCGTTTGTTTTGTTCTGTTTTGTTTGTTTGTTTGTTTTGATGCTGAATAGTTGTTGACCTTTTCGTGTTTGGTTGGTGCAGGACGCATATGAGCTTGTGAAGGAGGTCTATGCTCAAGACTTCTTCATCCCTCTCAATAATATCACACAAACGGCACCTCCTGTTCTATCTCAGATCTTTGAGGGTTGAAGCTTATTGTTTACAAGGTAGGTAGCCAAAGGCTGGCAGAGGAATTGTGAGATAAGGATCGAATCCAGTCCCCATAAGAGACGCTTATGCTAACAGATGGTAGAAGTGGCATATAGAAAAATATTACCAGTAGCATGCGGGTTGGCAAACACCGTTTGACGGTAACGTGCGAGGAATCATCGAGCCCATGTGAACAGTTATGCGTGGTGTATTCACACGCAGAGAAAGTAATCTGATGATTAAATCAAATTTTATCTTAAGAACGCGGTGAGATTAAAATATTTATTGCAGAACCTTCAATTTGGTCGCTAACGTGTAACAGACACTTCGCGCTCGTACTTAGCGAAAGCGTAAATGATCACGGAAACTCGAAGGGACGTTCATGGCTTCTCCCTGTTTCCGTGCAGTTTCCGCCTCCCAAGTTTGGGGCCGTTATTTGAGCCGAAATTCTGGGACCCTAGACCAATCGACAGGCCCCAAGACAAGAGGAAAATCGTTGTTTCCGTGGTCCTAATCAAATCAAGGACCAATCGAAAAGGGCCGCTTTTTGCTTTGCGGCGTCGCGCTTGTGCGAAAGACCTGGAAGGAGGGTGATCAACCGCCATTCTCCGGTCGGCTTCCGCCCTCTCTCTTCTCCACGCTATTACCGCCAAAAACCTCCACATAGACTTCCTTCCCCATAAGTGCTCTCCGCTCGAACCTCCCCTCCCTCCCTGCCTAATGGCTCCACTTCCCATCTGCGCGATTTCCCGCCGCCCCTCGCCCACTCGCGTCTCCTCAATCTCCCCCTCCTAACCACGTGCATCTGTCCTGCTGCATTCCTCCGCTCTGCCCCTTCCTCCATGAGACTGATAAGGGCGTGGGCCCAATCTAGTTTGATCTCGTCGTTCACATGCGATCAATAATTTCTGGGAAGCCTGGAAGCCAATTTTATGCAATCAGGGGCAATCAGCTGATCGCGATCAACTGATTGGCCAAACTCAATCAGACCCGAATTTCACCCCGATCAAGGTCGATTTTCCTCGATCACAGGCAATCACCTGATTGCATGTGATCGGGGCCCACAACGACGCTTGCGACTTGTTACACTGTTAAAATTACAGTGAAACGAGAACTTTCGCCAGGTGACATCTGGTCGCCAATCTCGCTAGAACAGGGTCGAAAATGCGACGTAAATGCATATCGCTTGCTTCGTAGGCGCTGGGAATCTTCTACGAAAAACAAATCTGATTGGGCGGCTCGGGCTTTGTGATCACAAGCAACCCGATCAGATCCGACCCGATCAGATCAATCGCGATCAGACTCGATTGGGCCCACACCCTAACAGCCAGCCATCACCAAGGGTTCTCTCATTTGCTCAGCTTGCTTGGACGGATCAGTAGGACACACATTTCCCAGTTGTTCAGTCACCAGCTGTGTCTAATAGTGAACGACCAACGTTCCTTGTTGCGCTCCCACGATCTCTCGCAGTTAATACATTTTTTAGCTTCCAGCAGCTAGATTTAGCATCGTCAGTAATCGCAAAACAGTGGAAGACGGCGGCATTGCGGCGGTTACCGCCGAGATTCGGCTTCCGCCCCAGCGGAACGGGGAGCTTGTCTTCCAATGTAACGTATTTCCCTAACTACCGAGCTAACAACCATCGATCTCTCTCTAAGTCAATTGTTGAGAACTTCTCTCGACAAAGGAAGAGTTGGAGAAGATGGTTGAGTTGGTTGGGATGAAACTTGGTTTGGGTTTGCCAAGCCTCAACTTTGGAGGTTTGGAACATTTCCAACTCAGCCAAGAGAATGTTGAAGGTTGGAATCCCAACCAATCAGAAACTGCCAAACAAGTGTTACAATCTACTCTATCCTAAACACAACCATTGAATGGTTCTAAGTTGGGTCTTCCAACCCAACACAATTGCCACATAGGCTCCAAGCCTAGGAACCATCCCACCATGGAAACCATGGTTGGGATAGTTCCCCAAGGGGTGTATTGAGGGGGTCTGAGCTAAGCAAGCTAATTTTCTCAACCTCCCACTCCAACTAAACAATTGGAAATGGGATTGTTTTGCCTAAGTCCTTGAGAGCTCTCTCACAAGCCTTCCTACACAATTCTCTCAAGCCTTTTCAACAACTCATTCAAGAAGATTGACACCTCCAAGGCTATTGGGAGCTAGTAAGAGCTTCAACTTGTATTGAGATATATTATAAAAGCATTGTAACTCCATTATAATAGCCTTGGGTGTTACACTGGTATCTAGAGCAAGGTTCTTCCTTGGCCTTGTGTGGCCATTTGCTACTTGGATTATTATTATTATTTTTTAGAGGATCCTAGCTTGTGGGTCTAGGATTTCATCCAAGGAGCTATCAAGATCTTGAAGATATTGAAGAAATTTCAAGATCTACAAAACAATCTTCAAGATCTACATCTTCAACTTCAATTTCTTCAAACCACCATTGGAGCTACAAGATCTACAAAAAGCTCCCCTTCTTCATCAACATTGTGAAGAAATTTGAAGAGATTCATTTCTCTTACCCACCTTTGGTGGAAGACTCAAATCTACCTTTAGTAGAAGAGTGTATCTTCAGATCTACAAGGACTTGTTGAGGATTACTCTTTTGAGTATATCTTGCTCTATCATTGAGGTGATAGAGAGATTTAGCAAACAAGTCAATCTTATGAGATTCTGTATTGGATTATTCTATAAGGATAATCAGATTTCTTAAAGATTATTATAAGATCTGTTGAGATCTCCTCTTTTTAACCTGTTTCATGGATGCTACTAAGGAGGTGCCCATTGCTGGCAATGAGGGAGATAATGCTGCTGCTGCTGCTGCTGACATAGATCTCAACCTTGAGGACTTTGTGGTTGACATGGAGATTAATGGAAGTGAAGCTGACCTTGAGGCTGATGCTGAAAATGAGGATGAGGCTGGCTCTGATGAGGGTGTTTCCAATGAGACTGAGAACATTGCTGTCAAGCTCCAGACTCAACTCACGGAGCAGAATATTCTCGTTGGAGTGCAACAGTGCCGCATCCAGAACTTGGAGGCTGATTCTGTTAAGCTTCAGGCCTTGATTGAGCAGCTGACCAGGGAGGTGCAGTCGATCCCTAAGGAGAACGACACCTCCAGCTTCATTCAGGACCTGCAGACTACTCTCCAGTTCGTGCAGGATCAGCTCAAGAAGCAAGAGAAACACATCTCTGTGCTTCAGGCCCAGTACAGGGAGATCCGGCGTGGAAACCTCTACCAGCCTGCTCCTGCAGCAGAGCGAGTTGCCAACGCCGCTAACAGCCGGGCTGCACCTGCTGATGCTCTTTCTGCTGTTCCCCCTCCTACTGGAGCACGTGTTGAGCCTCCTACTGCAGCAACAACTGCTTTTGGCTCCTGCCCTTCGGCCCTGCCTCGTTTTGTCCATGGCAAAACTGACGTTGAGACTTGGCTCTCCATTGCGGAGGACTTTATGTCCATCCACAATGTGCTTAGCGAGGCTCGCGTGGTCGCTGCGACCCTTGCCCTGGACGACACTGCGAGCAAGCTGGTGTATGCCAACAAGCGCCACGCAGAGGCTAATGGCCATCCTTTTGGCTGGGAGGAGTTCAAAGCTGCCATGCTGGCGGCATTCCTAAGTCAGCCCCCGGCGCTCGAGGTGCGTAGCCGCCTGGATAACATCCAGTGCGGTGACCAGCCTGTACGGGAGTACGCCAAAGAGTTTGAGAAAAATCTGTCGCTGCTGAAGACTGCTCTTCCTGAGAGCGACGTCATCCACCAGTTCTTCAAGGGACTCCCTGAGCACATCAAGCGTGTGCATGTTGTGCGTGGGGAGCACCAGTGGAGGACCTACAAGGAGTGCAAGGAGCAGGTCATTGACACGGATGTGAATTTCCGTGCGTACATGACTCACGCTCGTGCTCAGCGGCAGCCTAGTGCCGAAGGCCCTAGGGGGGGTGGTAACAGGACTCAGGCAGACAGGGGCAGTGGCTCTTGGAAGAGGCCCTATCAGCAGAAGGGGGAATCTTCTGGGACTCAGTCCAAGAGGGCCCATGCTGGGCTTCCCAAGGATCCTCAGGATGAGGATAAGCCCACGGCGGGCTGCCGCATCTGTGGCAAGCTCGGGCACAAGTCCTATCACTGCCGTTGAAGGAAGTCCGTCAAGAACTCCGGCAAGCCCAACCAGGGCAAGAAGCCGGATGGTTCTGGCCCTTCGGGCCCGAAGGATTTCCCGAAGTCCAACTAGGGGGTGGGTACCTAGTTGGTGAGCAAGATCGAGTAGATGAGGCTTATGTCCTTCGTGATGAGGATTTGCTAAAGCTAGAGAAGCTTGTGTCAGGCATATATGCTATAGTCAGTGTAGGCTGTAGTGGGGCAGTTCATATGGGGTACAACACTTTAGGGTTTGCTACTTGTACTCCCCTTTCTGCTTAATGAATTCATTCTCGTTTCTCATCATGGTATCGAGTAGGTTCCCTAGTGGGAACGCTACCTAGGGCCCACCACGATACTTTTTTTTCTGCCCGGAGCCCGCTTCACTCCTGCCCGAGTCGCGCTCTGTGTGCCCTCCCTACTTTCGAGCCGCCCTTAGTGGCCCCTCTCACGGCCCCTTTAGCCGCCCTTACGGCCCCTCGCGCCGCCCCTTGCGACCCCGCTACGGCCCCGTCTAGGCCCCTTACGGCCCCTCCGCGGCCCCGTCTAGGCCCCTTGCGGCCCCGCTACGGCCCCGTCTAGGCCCCTACGGCCCCTCCGCGGCCCCGTCTAGGCCCCTTGCGGCGCCGCTACGGCCCCGTCTAGGCCCCTTACGGCCCCTCCGCGGCCCCGTCTAGGCCCCTTACGGCCCCTCCGAGGCCCCGTCTAGGCCCCTTGCGGCCCCGTCGCCGCCACGTGCGGCCCCGTCGCCACCACCACCGGCCCCGTCGCCACCACATGCGGCCCCGTCGCCGCCACTGCGGCCACGCAGCCGCCACCTGCGGCCTCGCCGCCACCTACGGCCCCGTCACCGTCACCTGCGGCCCC